CACCGAAGCGTTCGGTTAAAAAAAAAAAAAAAAGAAAAGAAAAAGAAAATTCAATATAATCACTGCTCATTTATATTTTAAAGAGGGTTCAGTGTTTACAGGGGAATTAGACCGTAGAGTTAAAGGGGATTTAAGGTGTCTCGTTTCAAACGCTAGGACCAGGATTAGGCGTAAACTGGAGGCGGGCGCGAAGGAGCTGAGCAGCCTACAACACCTGATAAACTATGTCAGGTTTTGTATTTCTGCCTCTAAGGAATCTTACAGCCGGATCCTACTGAATACAATTGGACTTGTCATTGACTTCAGTGAGAAAAGGACAGGACCCCCTCGCTCGGCCGTGGCAGGAGAAGGCGGCCGCTGCTTATGAAAGCACAGCTGACAAAAGCAGGCACGAGCCGGCAGGGAGAAGCGGCTACTTCCTGAGGCTGGGTTTTCAGTTGTTCTTCGCAGCAAACTCCAGGAGCTCAGGCAGGAGCCTTTGCCAGGGTTCCTCTGGCCGCTCTGACGCGGCACCTCCCAAAATTGTTCCGCACTTGCAAAAAATGGAGTTTATTCTGCCCGAACTGGGCACAAAGGCTTGTAGGGATTCTTCTTTGCTCTGGTTTTCGTCTTCCTAATGAGAAAGATCTGAAACTGCTGATTTAGGGTTTGGATTACAAAAGAAATCACAAACGTTATAAAACAGGGAGTATCCGCTGTGAATTCCTCGTGTGCAATATAAAGCAGGTCTTCACGCAGTGTCCTATGAGAAGAAATGAATGAGTATTTCACAGCTGGCCTGTAGGTTTGAAAGGTCTGAGGTTTAAAAAAATAAAAAATAAAGCTGAAATCTAACCAGAGGAAAATACATATCTTCAGCGAGATCTTTTTCTCTTTCCTGAGGGGAAAAAATAGGAAACAGTAGCTGCCGAGACAACTCTCCCATTTCCTGAAGGGAAGAAAAAAAAAGTCTTTCCACTTACCAACATGATTTATTCAATGAAAACGTCTCTCGGACAGCCTCGGCTGACTGTCAGTTTCAAGTATTCAATAATTTCTCTGTTTCTCTTAAAGACAGCCACACACATAAGATTATTAACAGATGCGGTTAAAGCATCCACAGACGCCCCTATGTATTCACATTCCCACCTGCTTGCGGGTGCGAGGCAGAAATCATGCTGCTTTCACCTACACAGTTTGCCCGGGCGATGCTTTACCTGACACCCCTGTAGGCGCATTTTGCTCATTTGACGTAACCTGAGAGTTTTAAATGTACCAACCGCGGCTGCTGCGCGCCTGCTTCCCCGTGACCCTGGCGTCGGGACCAACGGGACACAGCGGTTTTGCACCGCGGGGAAAGCCGCTGCCCCCCGTCCGCCACGGGCTGCCGAAGGCGCCCGCCTTCCTCATGCCGCTGCCTCCGGAAGCGAGACGCCCAGATTTATCCTTCCCGTGTGACAGGCGCAGCGCGAGATCCCAGGAGTCGTTTTCAGCGCGCGCTGGGCTGCTCTGCAACTCCCCGATATTTTGGTTCCGAATCTTCTCAGTATTTCTACCTTTTCAAAAAGAGGTTTACAAAAGCAAGCTACGGACACGCGCCTTCCCCCGCCAGCCCGATTCCCCTCCTTTTCAAGCATTTTTAACCTGTATTGAGACTAGTTAAGCTGCAAGAACCAATGCTCGGGCAACTAGGACGTACTTTCGTCTGGAGACATTTAGCACCCTGTTAAATGCACCTGCCTGAGTCCCACGGGCAGTTGGGAGCCCTTCTGGGCCGTTCCGGGGGTCCACTGTCCCCCAGGACCCCTGCACGGTCGCCCAGCCGTGAAGCCTCAGCAGATGCTTCTGGTTTAGAGCTGGAGAAATGAACTGCTGCTGGCTCCAGAGTGCATTGGCAATGAAGAACTAATAAATTCTTCATCTTCAGGCCCAGAGGAGTTTAAGGCAAAATAAATGCTGCTTTCTTTGAACTGGGAATTGGAGACGTCCAAAAAACACTGATTGAAGGTAGAAGGAAATGGGAAACGGATGATTTTAAAGACACACTTGGGGATGGGAGGATTCGTATGCAGAGGAAGCTGAGAAACAAGATTTTACAATTTCTTCTCATAAAAAGGTAGGATAACCAGTTCCCCCAAATGAGAATGCAGGTGCCCCCTCCTCCCCATTTGAAAACATGCTAAACCCACAAAACAAGAAAGCAAACAAAAGCACTCTGGAACTTTAAATGAGCTGAAGCTGCAAGCAACATTGCGTTTCGCAGAACATGGGTAAATGCGAGGACTGTGAGAAAAGCCGAGACTGGGCCGGTCCCAGCCTCACGTACCGCGGTGAGAGGAGCTGGAAATGGGCAAACTGTTGGCAGCTTTGACTGATATGACTTCGAGAATTTGATGAGAATTTTAAACAACAGATTGGCAACCCAGAGTTTCATGTCACTGAAGATACGATAGCACCCAAGGATGACCAGGGCACTTAGTTTAAGGGAAGAGTGTTTTGAAGAACAGATGGTCTCCTCTTACTGGACTTTTTTTTCCCCTGTAAGCAGAGCAACGGCTGTAGCCAAGACCCCCTGATTTCTACCAGGAAAGGAATTAACGGGTAACCATATGAAGTACTTCCAAATTTGACTAAGTGATCTTCAGAGGAGGAACAGGTGTTCTCCTCTTTGCAAATTTAGACTTTGAACTAGAGCAAATCACTCCCCTTTTGCCCAGTCCTGCTATCTAAATGTAGTAATTACACACGAGTCTGCAACAGAACATTGTATTCACTGGAAACAAGACGCTCGGGATGTAATAGGACAACAAGATTCATGCTCATCCCTTTTAGTTATTTGAACCAAGAGCCTAAATTAGTCCTTATTAAAATAGGAACTCAAAACTAGATTCAGCCAAAACTAGAGATATTAAACAAATACAAATGTGACAAGAGTCATGATTCAATTATTAGGAGTCCATCTTTTAATTGCTCATTAAGATGATAATGTGTATCTTTGCCTACATCCATTTAGCCAAGCCTTTTCACTTTGACAGTGCATAAAATTATCCGTGCCAGTTGTATATCTCTTACTTTTTATGTCAACTTCAGAGTTGCCAGCTTTTCAGTATTCTCTTGGCCACAAATTAATAAGGAGGAACAAATTTAATAGCAGCCTCAAACCTTTAGAGATTGTGTCAGCCTTGCGTATGCGTGCCAGTTAAATTATCATTTATTTCCACTTAGATTTAATGTGGTCATCTTCATACAAACACACACGTACGCAGAGCCCGCTCTCAAGGTGCAGCATCAGTGCGTCGAGAGGCCGCTCCGAAAAGCTGACGCGCAGCCCGGACGTCAACTTTTCTAACCACAGCACTTAAGAAGCGGCAAGGGGAGAGGAGCCCAGGGACCCTCTCTTCTGCTGCCCCGGTGGCCTGGGTGCCCTCGGGCCAGCTCGCGTCTTCCCCAGAGCCGGCTGCTCCGGCGGCTGGCCAAAAGGATTCACGGAAGTAGGTTAAGCGGTGGCGAGCGCTTAGGCTGCCCGCGGCGATCTGGCCTTCTCCGCCTT